CAAGGGCCCTGACAGACAGACGGACAGGTGGGCAGGGGGTGAAGCTCAGAGGAGGCAGCCAACACCTGGAACGAGACACGCAGATGCTACAGGCTCAGGGTCAGTGGTGGGGGAGAGCACATCTCTGCAGGCCACGAGGGCCTAGCAGAGCAGAGCAGAGCAGAGTTAACAGCCGGGGAGGCCAGGCAGTTTGCCTGTGTTCCGGGGACAGCAAATTCAAAGCAGGGAGCTGAAGAAGATGGGGTGGAGAGATAATCAGAAACCAGACCCTAAGGGCCTGGGTGACTGGTTGGGTTTGTGGGGAAAATGGAGACTACCAGGGACTTTAAACAGGACAGCGATTTGATCAGAAATGAGTTACTGCAAAATCGCACTGGCAGCCCTGGTCTGCTTCAGGCATCAGCTAGAGGCAGCAAGGTGGGCCAGGACACTACCTGTTACCTTCCTGCAGGAGGAGGCAACAGGCCTGAACTGGGGGCAGGGGGGCAGGGTAGGGAGGACAGGGATTAGAGCTCTTTAAGAGGCCTGCAGGGGAGTTGGTGACAGCCACAGGAGCACCAAGCCACCAGAACTGTCCTGGTAACAGAAACCCCACCAATGTGATGGGCTTGCTTCATTCCAAGCAAGGACAGAGGCAAGGGCCCTTCTCTAGTTTTTTTTTTTCCTGCTGTGCCTGTGGCTTGCAGGACCCTAGTTCCCTGACAAGGGATTGAGCCCAGAAAGATTGCCAAGTTCTAACCACTGGCCCACCAGGGAATTCCCAAGGGCCCTTCTCTTGAGAAGGCTTTGACTTTGGGGAGAAAAGATGCACTCCCTCATCTCGTTGGCCAAAACTATGTTGAAAGGCCACCCATAGCTGTGAGGAAGGCTAAGTGGCTTCAGGGGCGTTGACTGGTACCCTGAAGAAAATCAGAGTTCGGCTGGGGAGGAAGAGCATACGTATCGGGTAAGGACCCTGCAGCGCCTGGTGTTTGACCAGCCTGCCCCGGGTTGGACCAGCCCAGTTTAGAGATGCCATGGCCGTTGGGAAGTTGGGCAGTTAGATATCTGTACCTGAAGCTTGGGTAAGGACACTGGCCTGAAGCCACAGAGTTGGGTTTGCCAGCTCACAGTGAAGGATGACCTACAAGTTTCCCAGCCCATTCTGCCCTATAGACCCACCAGAGTAAGAATGGGGCATCCTATCAGGCTTCCAAAAGAGGAATTCCACTGCCGTGGCTCTAGGATGGTCTCTATGTGTGAACCTTGACCCACCACAGGCTTATCACCTCCCTGTGGGAAGAGCTGGGCCTCCTTCCTGATCGCACAAGGCAAGACAAAGGGATGTGAGTTGACAGAGCCTCTGCCCACCTTGAGATTCCAAGACCTAGCATCCATATCTGCCCAGTGTGAGCTGACCTTGGCTGGCTGGGTATCAGGGAGGTCTCGTCCCCACTTCTCCCTGCCAGCAGTAAGGATGCTCATCTGTAATCAGGGGTGTCCAGGAAGGCGGCTTCCGGGCTCACTGTTAGTCATCCTTGTCAGTTATACTGCGAAGGGCCTTCCTCAGTGATTTGTCCATCTGCACAGCCAGAGCCGGGCCTGGAGAGTCAGCAGTGGCCCGCCCGTGTTCTCAGGCAGGCCCACAGGGGTCGCTATCCAGACCCCCAGGGATCCAAGGGCAGGCCAGGCCAGGCTCTCTTGCCTGTTCTTTCCATCCTCTCTGGCCTCACTGGCCACAAGCGTTTTGTTTATTTTTTTAAACTGGAGTAAAATTTCTTTACAATGTTGCATTAGTTTCTGCTGTATAAGGAAATGAATCAGCCATATGTATACACATACCCCCTCCCTCAAGCACCTGCCTTCCCCCCCACCCCCTGCTGACTCCTGTGCCTTTTTAGTTCTGTTTACTTCCCAAAGCATTTGTTTACTTTCTCTTCCTTTTCTGTTCACCACCCCTTCATGATGGCCTCTGTATATCTTCATTCTTCTATTGTCTAAGTTTACCTGACCGTCATCTGGATGAGGGGCTAAGGATGACCTAGACTGTGTATCAGACATTTTTCTTAAAGCTTAGTGTCCTCACTATGATCTTGTTCATTTCCTGGTTTGTATNTCTTAAAGGAAGGCATTTCCCAGCTCCTCAGCATCCCATCCCCACAACACTTTCTCATCCCCCATCCACTGGATGCTATGGTTGGACCGCCCAGGGCTCTCCCCTCTCTCACGTGCCCTTTTTTCTTCCCTGGCCCATCTCCGCCCCCTGTGCCCCTCAGTCTGGCCTCTCTCCTGAGCTACAGGCCCCTCCAATCCCACTGTTCTGACCCCCAGACTCACCTACACTTCCGCCTGCTTCTGTCAGAAGTGTGCCTCAGGTGCCTCAGCTCCCAGGGATCTCCAGCAAAGATGCCCCCTCCCATGTGAAGCCAAGTGGTACAGACCCCCAGCCTCAAGCCTCCAAATGGCTGGCGAAGGTCATAGTATGCACTGTCTCCAGTGGGGGGACAGGTCCTATCTCTGGGGGTGCAGGGGAGGGTCAACATTACTCCTTGAATACGAAGAACAGCCTTTCATGGGTTGTGTTTGCCAGTCACATGCTGACCTCATTGAGATCAGCCCGAGTTAGATTGGATGCGGTGAATAAAAGCCAGGATCTCCCAAGTGTCAAATACTATCTCTCTCTCTCTCACACACACACACATTCACACACACACACACTCACACACACACACACGCCCCCCTGCAGCCTCCATCTAGGCACATTGCCTGGGTCTCATGGGAAGCCATCACAGAGTGCACAGTCAGTGGTTTGAGCTCCTAAAATCCATCCCTCCTCTTGGAAGCTATATCCAGATTTTTATTCGTGCGTCCTGTCTCCCCTAGCCTAGCCCCACTCCCATGTCCAGGCCAAGTAAGTGGTCTACCCCAGAGGTCCCACCCCTGGTTCAGCATTGGGGACCTGACCCAGTTCAGGCCAATGAGACAAAGGAGATTTGCTGGGGGCTTCAGGGAAGGAAGTTCCCCCAAGAGCATCTCAGAGGGCCTGAGCTGCAGCCCGAGTGCCCACCTACCTCAGACCCTGAAGACACCCAGTCGAGGCTTGTTGAGCCAAGGAACCCGAAGTTCGGTCACAACATCCCTGCATAGTTAGAGCCTGGTGTTTGTGGTGGGGAAGGTTAGAGGTGTGAATACTTAAAAGTTCCAGAGGCAGGCCCAAGGCTCCTCAGGCCAGTGGAACCAAGGGGAGTAAGGCCAGCGTGGTTACCAAATGCAGCCAAGAATGAAGAGAACGGGGCCAGCAGGCTGGACAGTGTCCAAGTCACTGTGGAAGGCCTGGGGAGCTGGCTGGAGGGAAGCGCAGCAAGGGGAGGCCCTGAGATGGGCCAGGGGCATCTGTGGCCTTGGGAATGGGGAGAGAAAGCCAACAAGTGTGGCCTGCCCGCCTCTTAGCTCTCTTGGGCTGACACACACCAGGAGGTGTACCAGCTCCCAGACCCTCGGTGCAGCTCAGACCTCTAACCTGCTGCTTACTCATTCGGGCGGGATCACCACACCAGGTCCCAAGCCTGGAGCTCTCTCTGCAGAGCCGGCTCCCACCCGCCTCCCGCAAGATGCTTCCTGCAGGCCCCACCTGTGACAGAGCAGGGCTCTTCCGGGCACAGTACCCCACCAGCTGGCACATCTTTGAATCTCATCTTGTGAGAAACCTAATGTGAATATTTCCTACTCAATAAAATTTCTCATCATGACATAAAAGTGAAGACTCTCATGTTGGCACCTTGGATGCAGATCCCCCACATACCCCAGGGCACGGAGCCCCAGGTTTGGAAGCTCAGTGGAGATTGCTAGGTCTGGGCTTCAAGCTTGGTTCCACCACCAATGAGCTGTGTGGCCTTGGGTGAGAAAGTTAACCTGTCAACATGGAAAGAAGGAAGGAAAGAAGGGAGGGAGGGAGGAAAGGAGGAGGCAGGAAGGAAGGGAAAAGCTAAGTTTTCTAACAGGGACACCTAGAAATGAGCTCCCCACGCCCCCTTTCATAACTGCTTTGCTCACAGGAGTCCTGGCTGACAGAGCCAACACTGTCAGCCACAGGACAAGGGAGAGCTTAGCTTGACCATGCTGCCTCCTGAAACAAAGCTCATGAGTTTTATCCCAAAACAAAACTAAGATTCCAACAGTTGTCCCCTTCACCTGCAGAACAGATTTATGCAGACATAAATCCCTGCCACTGGAAGCCCAGCCTGGCCCCCGGGCCCAAGAGCACAGCTCCATGACCCCCAGAAAGGACCCAGGCTGCTGCTGTGTGTGCAGTCCATGTACCCCGATGGCCTTGGAGACCCGGGCTGCATGCAGCACAGGCCCTGATGCTGGAAAGGGAGGCAGGTGGGGAGAGAGGGACGCTTGCCCATCACGCCCAGGTCTTCTTGTGCCTGGGGGCCAACAGTCCAGGTTTAGCCCCGCCCCTCCTTGGGCCTGATACCACATCTGTGAAATGCAGTCCTGGGACTGCCTCCTGAGTTCTCCCTGTTAAATATCATTACTGAGAACAGCACCCAACAGCCTCCTTGGCACCCTTATCTGCCCTTCCTGTCACCTGGTCCCCATGCCCCGCACCCCAGCCAGCCACCAGTGAAAACATCAGTGAATGGGGCTGAAGCCCAGGGGAACTCAAAAGGAAGTGGAGGTCACACGCTGGCGGGGGGCTCTCCAAGACACAGGGCCTGCAAGGCGGGCCGTCCCAGGACAAGAGCACAGATAATCACAGCTCCACTGCAGGGCAGATGGAAAGTGAAAGTCGCTCAGGTGTGTCCAACTCTTTGCGACCCTATGGACTATACAGTCCACGGAATTCTCTAGGCCAGAATGCTTGAGTGGGTAGCCTTTCCCTTCTCCAGAGGATCTTCCCAACCCAGCGATCAAACCCAGGTCTCCTGCACTGCAGGCGGATTCATTACCAGCTGAGCCACAAAGGAAGGCCACATGGCAGACGGAAATGGAGGGGAAGAAAAAAAAACACGTGCTTTCTGAGTGCTTCTGTCAGTTTTTGTTTGTTTCATTTTGTTTTGAACACTAAGATTTATTTTCAAACAGCACACAGACATCTGCGGGGCTGGGCCAGGCCAGGCTGGTGACTGGGCCCGAAGTCTCTGGAGACACTGGACCTCACCCACGGCAGCTGCCAGGAAAGGAGACCCTGGCCCAGGTGGCACGGCCCAAGCTTCAGGCAAGCGTGGTGGCTCGGTGGCCCCCAGGCCCCGCCCTGTGGTTGGGTACTCAAGCTGCGGCAGCGGTGACACCCAGTGGGCGAGGGCGGGGGAGGCGGCCAGGAACTCAGCTAGGGAACACAGCAGCTTCAGGAACACTGGTGACTGCTGGACTCGCCGAAACCAGGCTCTTTGGAAAACAACCTCAGCTTTGGGAGAACACCTCCTGGCTTAGGTCTCTCCTCTCAATTTCCCTTTTACTTCTCAAAAGTTTAAAAACAAAACAAAAAAAAAAAAAGAAGAAAGAAAGAAACACACATTTTTCGGGAGAAGGTGCTGTTCTTCACGTGCCCAGAGCTCCGCCAGCCGCACCCTCACTGCACTCGCTCGGTGAAGTTCTCGGGGAAGACGCCCCGGCATTTCTCCAGCTCCTTGTGCTGGTTCCAGTCAGTCTCCTTCACGCCCATGAGCCAGCCTTCATCCTAAGGGGGAGCGAGCGAGGGTTGCAGGGGGAGGAGGGCAGTCACACCTGCAGGGTGGGCCCTCCTTCTGCCTGCTCATTTCTCCTAGGCTGTCAGACCCGCCTTAGGACATCTCTGCCGAGCAGCACTTCCTGCTTTTCTCTCAAGACCCAAACTGCCACCCCCTACCCCCAGGACCCTTCAGGAGGCAGATTTAACTCCTTGTTGTTTGGTGAGTCCTCCTCACTGCAGAAAGACAGCTTGACGGCTGCACTGGTCCAAATGCCTCTAAACAGCTCCCTCAGTCCCCTCCACTGGCTGGTGCATCACCAAGGAGGATATCAGCTGTCCTTCTGGCCTTCTACAAACGGTAACAGAAAGCTCTACAGAGCACTGACCACTTAAGAGCTTCTAGAGTGACCTGAGGTGTTCCACCAAGTTCTCCAAGTTGAATCTGACCTTTGCTTTAATACCGACCCCTTGCAGGGATCATCTATTCAAGCCCTGACAAGCCCTGACCCCTGGGCCTGTGGTGACCACACACCCTGCCTGAAGCCAAGGCCACTGCTGCCCCTGCAGCTGGGCCATCCCTGGGATCTACGCACAAGGTTACCTGCCTTGTCCTATACCCCATGTGTGTCCTACATGAGCCACGTCTACCCATCACAGATGGCTCACGCTGTGTGCTGGGGGACCAGGATTCTGCTCCTGAGAACCCCACCCAGCCCAGGGCTGGCCCACCAGGGAGATCAGCGGACACCTGGGGCTTTAGGAGAATTAACTGATTCAGCACCAGGCCCAGGAAAGCCTTGTTATTCAAACCTCTCAGCCCATGGGGGGCTCAAAAAGTACCTAGTAGCCTCAAGTTCCAGCCCAGGACGCCCCAGCCAGGTTGGCCTCACTCCACACCCGGCCCTCCTCCCGCACTTCGGCACTCTGATAATTAAATCACACAGACGTGTTGATGACTAAAAGCCTAGGAGTCCCGCCAGCTCTGCTCTGCGCCATAGCTGCCACCTGGATACCCACATGGGCACCCCCACGGCACCATCAGTGCCCCACGTCAAGGCCTCCTTCTGAGGGGCCGCTGCAATCTGAACTAAACAGCCGGGCCGGAACCTAGCGGGGGCAGTTCTGTCCCGCGCTGAGCCTCCCAGGATCGGTGGGATCCGCTCTGAGGACGTTCACTAACAAAGCAAGGCCGCAGCAGGAGAAGGGGCTGTCTGGGATGCTTCGGGGTGAGGACCAGGTGGGGACAGGGTTGGAGGCTCGGGGGTCTCTCCCTGTGGGCAGGGAAGTGTGCGGTCCTTGTGGACGGGGCAGGGCCAGCCTCGGGGTGGCATCCAGGGCCAACGGGAGGCTGGGGGGTGGGGGAGGTCCATGGAGGGGCAGCCAGGGATCCCGTCCTGGAGGAGGGTGACCACGGAGGGGCAGGGAAGGGAGATGACGAAGGAACTGAGATGCAGAGAGCCCGGAGGAAGGCAGACAGAGCCCGGGGAGAGGAGGAAGCAGGAAGCGAGAGACTGAGCTGGGAAGGAGAGACTGAAGAGCCGAGGGGAGCCCTGCCGCCGAAGGGACGGAGGGAAGGAACCCTTGGGGGCGGGGGGCGGCCGCAGGCTGGCTGGCGGGGCTCTGCTGCCCCCTGCTGGCCGCCGTGCTTCCCGCAGAGCCGGCTCACCTGCTCCTCCGGGTTCTGGAAGGGGATCACCAGGACCACGTCCCCAGCCTTGAGCTGCAGCTCGTCCGTGTCGGTGGCCGTGTAGTCGTGCTGGGCCTGCACCTGCAGAGGGCGGGGGAGCGCTGACACCCCTCCCCTCGGCGACCTTTGTCCCCCCTGCCATCCCCTGGGCGCCCGGAGCAAGTGAAAGCAGCAGGAACAGGGCTGGGACCCCACCTCACAAGTGGGGAGCAGCGTGGGAGAGGCGTGGGGTGGGTGTGGGCCACCCCCACAGCCTAGGGCCCCAGGAGATCGCAGGTCAGCAGGCCAGACTCGCCTTGAACATGAACCCCGGGGGCAGGTCCAGACGGCCCGCCCCGCTGCCGCTCTCCACCGTGCCGTTCACAGTTGCCGAGAAGGTCTCCACAACCACCGCCGGGAGAGAGCTCTGGCGGGGGAGGAGAGCAGGTCAGTGACGCGGGGAGGGGCTCCCGGAGGGCGGAGGGCGGGCCGCGCCGGCAGAGGAGGGGGGTGTCTGCGCCTGCTGCCGGACCAGCGGGCCTCCAGGTTCCTCGACAGGAACTGTGACCTGGACCAGCACAGAGCAAGACCCGGGGACAGGGAGCCGCGGGCGGCGGGGAGGAATCTCAGGGCCTGGGTCCCTGGCATCTTACGGAGGCTGCTTCACTTGCGGTCGTCTCCCCGGGCTCCTGGGCTCCAGCCACCTCCGAGGCCTCTGCTGGCTGCAACATAAACGCCACGCGGGGTCAGACACGAGACAGGGCGTGCCGGCCAGAACGAGGAGAGGGTGCAGAGGGCCAGTGCCTCCGTCCAGTACACGGAGCCCCGAAGGAAAGGCCCTGGGCATGGGAAGCAGCTGGAGAAGGCGCTGGCAGGCACACAGACCCTGGACCCCAAGTGACGAACTGCTAAGAAGCCCAGCACAGGTCCCCGGGCTCCCGCACAGGCTCTGCCTTCTAATCCCAAACCCTGGTGGAGCCTCGGCTTCCTTCTTTCCAGCTGCTCAGCCCCACCGGCCCCTCACAGGTGGCTCCCATGGTGAGGGCCCAGGCAGGGCACTGCAGAGGCTGCCTGGCTGCAGTCAGGCTGACCTGGGTCTGCCTTGAGACTCAGCCACGTCTGAGTTTGCCCCAGGGCAGGGAGGTGTGGGTGGGCCACAGCAGCGATGCGCTGCCCGCTGGCGCCAGACTTCCTCGGGCCTCCTCCAGCGGAGCTTCACAAGCCCCCAGGCCTGGGCTGCCGGCACCTTCACGCCAGCCCCTCCTGCTCTTGCAGGAGCTCCGTCACCAGCTGTGGGGTGTCCCCCTGCCCCCCTCCCCCGAGTCTCTGTGTCTGAGCTGCCAGGTGATGACGGCACCCGTCTGGCCTCACGCCACCTGTCCTGCTCCTCTCTCCTGGGTCCCACCAGCTCGCTAGTCCAACTGCCCTGTGGGGCCTCTTCGGACAGAAAGCCCCTAGGGGGTGAGGACTCTCCACCCCGAGGTCCCCCTGCCCCCCAGACCTGGGCCCAGTTCAGGGACACCCCATCCACCGTGGGGACCAGCTGGTCACTATCTAGGGCCATTTACAGTCCCTGAAAACTGGGCTGCATCCTGGGGAACTCTGCAGAGGCTGAACTGAGGGGCCCCTTCCCAAAGGGCCTGGCTGAAGGCACAGGGTCCCTACCCGGCAGAAAGAGCGGGAGGCGCGGCCGTGCGTGCGCCCACACCTGTGAACAGGTGCAGCAGGAGGTGGGGCAGGTTCCGCACACAGCACAGTGCGCCCCTGAGGGGCGGGCACAGAGCAAGCACAGCTTACCTCCCAGAGGTCCCAGGGAATCGACTGAGCGCAGCGGAGGGGAGAAGGACAGTTAGCACGGAGGTTAGAGACAGAGGCAGGCTTGCAGTCCCCAGGGACCCCACCCCATGCCCACCCCAGGGCCCTCGAGCCCAGGAGGCGTGGGGCAGAGCAGAGTTGGCTCTGAGCCCTCCAGAGGACCGAGTCCTGGACACCTTCAGGGAGCCCGAGACCACAGGCCAGGGGGCAGCCACATCCAGGGCTGCCGCCAGGAGAGGGGCGGGGTGCTCAGATGCTGGACTGTGTGAGTTGCCAGGTGAGTACACAGCTGACCTCCTGAGGGGTCTCTCATTGACCTGTGGTCAGGACCAAGGGAGGTGACAAGAGCTGGGACCAGGGCTCCAGGGGAAGGGCGGTGAGTGGGAGGAGAGCCCAGGGACCCCAAAACCCCCAAAGGAGGTTGGTGGGCAGACATGAACCCAGGCCCCAGGTGCCCAGAGGCCAGTGGGCCCGTGGGCGGTGGTGGGCTCACACCAACCTGACCAGAGGGTGTGGGCGCCTTCACAGGGCTTGCCACAGGCGGGAGGGGGTCAAAGTCCAGGTCCAGCAGACTGGCCTGCTCCGAGAAAGGCCCCGGGGCCTCAAACTTGGCAGCAGCGGCAAAGAGGAAGGCGGTTAGTGAGGGGCAGCAAGCACTCAGCCGGGGTGCAGACGGCAGGCTCCTCTCCCAGACACACCCGCCGACACAAGGGGCCAGGCCCATCCCACACGCCTGGCACCGGCCCCACCCACACAAAGGCACACCTGGGGCCAGCTCCACCCTCGGCCTGGCAGCCACCCCCCAGACCAATGCCAAGCCTCCAACGCTCTCCATCCCACAGGCTGAGGAGCTGTCCCAGTGCCCAGGCCCAAGAACTCCCCTGATCTCGTGTTCCTTCCAGCAGTGGCCCAGGCCACGGTCCGGCCTAGACAAGACCACTCAGCGCCTCTGGCTCAGAAGAGCCCTAAGCAGGCATGAGCTGACCCAGATGGACACGTGGTCCCTCACTGACACCCACCCCCAGCCAGTTCAGGGCCGCCCGAACCAGCACACAGTGCCCAGGAGCCCCGTCGTAAACACAGGGGTCCCCGACACAGGAGCACCTGGGTTCACAGTGTGGGGCTGAGTGCACGGAGCCAGCACAGCCCGCAAGAGACGGCAGCGTGCTGGCCCTGTCCACCCTGTGAGGACAGCTGCTTAGTGAGCTGGGCCAGACAACCATGGAAGAAGTCTTCCCAGAGCCACCCTGGAGGACAGACTGCCGGCCCCAGTCCAGTGGACACACTGCCTTCCTACGAGGGTGGCTTGCTCCGCTGCATCTCCATCTCATACAAGGGGCGTCCCCAGGGACAGGGAGGACTCTGCCTGCCCTGCCTTGGCCCAGGGTGCTCCCCCTAAAGCAGCGCTGAAAGGGCCACAGCCCCACAAGCCCAGGCCAGCCAGCTCCCCCCCAGCCCCTTGATGGTGTCCAGAACTGATGGGACTCGCCCTCCAGCCCAAGGCACCCGAGATCCTCCATTTAGAAGGGTCTAAGACCTGGGCGGGCACTCCTGGAGGGCCTTCCCAGCTGAGCTGTGGCCTGTCCAGGGAGGCCGAAGACCAGGGTCCTGAGGGCTGGAGTTGCCAACCCGCAGCTCAGGGCACAAGGGGCTGAGCTCAGAGACCCCAGACCAAACGAACTCACTCCCGCCCCACGGTCATCCCCAGCCACAGACTCTCCTTTAGGTCAAGCCCTATCCAATGAGCCCGGGAGGAAGGTCACCACTGTCTCCACGACACTGTGGAGGCTTGAGTTCTGGGTGCCCTCCGGCCAGGGACAGGTAGCATTTCTCTCCCCAAGGGCGCCCTACCGCCCACCCCCTCTCAGCAGTCAGCCAAGCCCAGAGGCCCCCTCAGATTCCAAGTGGACAGGGTCAGCAGGCCGAGAGCAGGCTGCGTCCTCTCTGCCCCACCTCCCAGCACTTCAGCCTCCCCCCACGCAGGCCGGGAGCCGCCCCCTGAGTGTGGGGACACAGGCTACTCACCCCGGCCAGCAGAGCAGCCCGGTCAGCACAGCGTCATGGACGGGCCAGTCCACCCCCGCCCCGGGCCACAGAGCCCATGGGGGTCACTGCCCACCCCACCAGGCAGGGCCCCAGCTCCCAGGAGTGGGCAGAGAGGCAGCAGGAGAGGCACACAGGGAGCAGGGCAGGGCAGCCCGCCTGGCTGCGGCCAAGGCCCGCAGCTCCTCACCGGTTCAGCGGGAACAGCCCCTCCCGGAGAGGACGGAACCCTGAGTCAGGCCAGTGGGTCAGCGGCTGGCTGCATTCCCTGCGCAGCGTCTACCAGCCCTTATGTGCCCCTGCGGTGGAGGCGGGCTCCAGGCGGCGAGCACCCCAGCTGCAATCTGCCCAGAGGTCGTGGTTTCCCCAAGACCCCAGGAGCACCTTGAGCCAGCCTCAGCTGCGCTCTGCAGGGGAGCTCCCTCCCTGGTCCCCAAGCCAGGTCATCACTTGCCTGTCCCCAGCCGTCTATATTGAAAGTTCCAAGCTCAATCCGAAGTCCTGCTGTGGGGCATGAAGCCCACTCTGCCACGGCCCCTCGTAGCTGGAAACACTGTCCCGTGCTCCCAATTCCTCTTCCGCCACATGCACACCTCCAGTCCTGCCCCTCCCCTCCAGGCCTCTGAGCTGGTGCAGAGGCAGACCCCTGGCAGAGCAAGCCCATGGGGGCGCCGCAACGCGGGGCCCAGCGCAGCTCGGGACTGGCTGGCCTACACAAAAGGTGAGCCCAGCATGGACAGGCAGGCCTGGAAGCCAGGCTTGGAGAGGTCGGCGCGCTGCGGCCTCTGTGCGCTGATCCGACCATGGGCAGCCCGCCTCCTCTGCCAGCCCGCCTCCTCTGCCACCACAGTGACCTTCCCTTCTCCACCCTCCCTTCGTCCATCTGGGAACGGGTGCTGCACGCCTCCGAGGGCGGGTACAGCAGCCTCCCTGCTCTGTGACCCAGCCACCGGCCCACCTCCATGTGGTGACGGCAGTTTTGGAAGCTGGGTGCCTTGGAGGCTCCCGAACTGTGCCCTGGCCCGGTCGCCTCCTCGCCTGACACACCGAGCCCCTGCCCGTCCTGAGCCCGCCTCCCACCCCTCCCAGCCTTCACACAAGCAGCCGCCTCTGGCTACACACTGCGCCTGCTCATAGCCACTTGGCGAACTTCTCCTGCTCCAGGAAGGCTTCCCTGATTGGCCCAGGTCCTCTGAGCCGCCCACCCCTTTGGGCCACAGGAGGCCACTGTTGAGCCAGCCATCTCCATGAGGACCATTTGCCCGTGTCCCTCCATTAGGCCACAAGCTCAGAGAGAAATGCAGAATGATGGGCGGGGGAGTGGATGGATGTGCGAGAAGGAGGCTCAGAATCAATCCCTGCAGTCGGCCTCTGGCTTCTGAGGCAGAGGCACGGGGCATGGGATGGAGGGGAAGGCCATGCACGCCCCAGAAGGGCAAGAGAAGGGGCAGAGAGTGCTGGGCCGCGGCGGCCGCGGCTGACCTGGGAAGGGGTGGTCACGCTGATCTCGGGGACAAACGTGTCGTCAAACAAGCTGAGGATCTGCTCCTGCTTGACCTCCTTGGACGGGGTGTGTTTGGGAGGCGGAGGCACTGGTGGGCCTTTCCGAAGCTGTGGGTCGGCAGCAGGTGAGGGGGCCGCGTGGAAAGGCACAGCAGAGCGTGGGGGTTGGGGGAGACAGACAGAGACAAAGCTAAGGTTAGTCACCTCCCAGCCACGGCCCCACCAGCAACCGCGGAACACAGACGAGGAAAGTCACTGCCCCGTAAGACACCAACACACAGACCACACGGGCCCCCGGGAGTGGCCGAGGCCTGGCGGTCAGGAGCCCTGCACAGAGAGAGGTGGGTCGGAGGGTAAGGGAGTAAGAGAAGGAGACGAGGAGAGAGCAGGACCGAGAGGAAGGAAAGACGGGCCTGCCAGGCTGTCAGGGGCCATGTCGGAGGGTCCGGCTCTCACGGCCCTTGGTGGGGAAGCTGAGGAGAGAAACAGCACCCAGGCCCCCGGGCCCCGCCCCCAGAGGAGCTGCAGTCCAGACTCTGGAGGTCACCGTGGAGGCAGCACACCTGCCCGCCAAGCCTGGGCTTCCTCACTCGTCAAGTTGAGACGATAAGAGTGTCCGCCTCACAGACCGGTATGAGGACAATGAATGAAAACACAGAAAGGCTGGCGCGGGTGCAGCTTAGAGGAAGTGTCTGAGTGTGGGCTCTCATCACCCTCTTAGCATCGCTCTCCTAATCAGCTGAGCAGTGGGCCTGCAACCAGGAGAGCGGCGGCCGGGCGCCCATCAGGGCTCAGATGGGGCTGCACAGTGGACCCCACTCCTCCTTTCTCCCTTTCCGGCTCCTGGGGATGCTGCAGAAACCTGGGAGAAACTGGGTTGGGGGTAGGACCCGGACGTCCCCCTCCCCTCACCGAGCCTCTCCTCTCACCGGCCTTTTCAGGGTCCTGGGTGCCCCCCACCCCCGCAAGAAAGAAGCTGAGGCAGAGGGAGAGGCAGCCACCTCGGCAGACCTGGATGCTCTGGGGGCTGAGGGCCCAGGAGCCTGTGTCTCCGCAGGAAAGAAAGATGGAGAGAGTTCAGCAGCCCAGAGGCCGGGGAGAGGGAAGAAGGGATGCGGCAGCAGGGTTGGGGCGCCAGACTGTCACAGTTGCCCCTGGAAGGGGCCAGGACCACAGAGAGGAGCCAGGGGACCGGAAGGAGCCGGGACGCCGGCAGAGCAGGAAGAAGCAAGGGAGGGGACAGGCCGCCAAGACAGGCACCTACCTGAGACGGGGACTTGGGGAGGGTGGCCCCGGGGGTGGCTGCGCCAGCCGGCTCGGGCTCATGGTTGACTCTGATCTCGGGGGTGGCAGCAGGAGAGCCATCAGGCGGCGGGGAGGGACTCTTGTTCCCTTTTGCGGGTGCGTTGTCACTGCAGAGAGAGATGAGGGAGAGAGAGCCGGATGGAGGGAGGCTGAGGTGTCCGAGAGGGAGAGAGGAAACGTGTGTGTGTGACAGGCTGTGTGCACGCACATGTGTGTGTCCATGTAGATCCTGGGAAACTGAGGGTGCTCGTGTGTCCACAGACTCACTGAGAAAATATGACACCCATGTGTGCATGAGTGCGTGTCCCCACGCATCCATGTGTGAATGTGCGTGAGAACAGGTGGAAATGAGGCAACACAGGCATGAGCACTGGGAACACGAAGATGTCTGCAGCAGGGCCCGCCCTGGACACAGTGATAACCCCACCCCAGCGGGAGGAGCAGGGCGGGTCCCTGGGAGGCATCACCAGGCGGCATCCCCAGCCTCGTGCAGGGGTGCTAAGCCCACCGCAAGAGAAGGCCAAACATCCTAGAAGCAAAGAGAGTGTCATCCGACACGGCACGCAGCAGCCCCCGTGCTCAGGGCGAGCCTGCTCCTCGGCCTGACCCCGGGGCCTCCGGGCCGGCCTGCCATCCGCCCCACCAGCAGGGCCCAGCTCCCCACCACACCGGAGCGGCTGGCTCCAAGCTCTTGCTCCTGCAGGTCCTCCCTGGAACCTGGGTGACCAGCAGAGGCCACAGGCAGAGAGGAAAAGTAAAGGGGTGTCTCATAGCCAGGGTGAGGAGGGAGAAGCCACGTCAAGTCTCAGCACCGACAAGGACAAACGGCATGCACAGCCCACCACTTGGGCACAAGGGGCAGAAATAAAAATCTGTGTTGTACTTGCCTGGAGAGACTCTAGAACAGTGCTGACCAAGATCAGCCCCGCCTGCAGGGGCTGCTTACATTTACGTTTGAAAAGTGAGAGTCGCTCAGCCGTGCCCGACTCTGTGACCCCATGGACTATACAGTTCGCGGAATTCTCTAGGCCAGAATACAGGAGTGGGTAGCCTTTCTCTTCTCTAGAGGATCTCCACAACCCAGGGATTGAATCCAGATCTTCTGCATTGTAGGCAGATTCTTTACCAGCTGAGCCACAAGGGAAGCCCATGAATACTGGAGTGGGTAGCCTATCCCTTCTCCAGGGGATCTTCCCTATCCAGGAGTCGAACCGGGCTCTCCTGCATTGCAGGAGGATTCTTTACCAACTGAGCTATCGGGGAAGCCTATATTTTGTGTTTATATTAAAAACGCAGCTCCTTGGTCACACGGCTACACTTTAAGTGCGCCCCGGGCACATGGGCTGGGCAGACACCGTGGTGGACAGGGCAAGTCCAGAAGGACAAACAGAAACTAGGAACCCTGTCACCCGCCCGGGCTGTCTTTGCCTCCTCTAAGACTACAAATACATCTAGTGTAAGAACAGGCACACACGCACACAGCACACAGTTCCTACAATCTGGCAGCTGCAGCAACTCTCTCCCCGAGCCTCCCAGGCCTCCCTTCTGGCTGATCCCCCACTCCTGTTCGGGCTGCAGCCCGAGAGGAACATGCTGAGGCGGTCTGCCCACCCTCCCCACCCTCTCTGATTCCCACCGACGCCTCTCTGCCCTCTGCCCACCCCAGCACACACACCACACACAGGAAGGCGGGTTAGGGGTTAGTGGCGCCCTCGGCTGGGCCAGACACATGCATGGGGTCCGGGGGCTGTCCTCGGAGGCCCCCGCAGCACAGCACTCCCTACTGGTACCTGTTCTTCTTTCTGCGCAGCCGGGAGAACAGTTTAGCTTTCTTTCTGTGGGGACGGATGGGACGTGGAGGCCTTCATTTGGGGGAAATGAGGATGTGGGACTGGCCTGATCCCTTCCCTCACTGGCAGGCCCTCCGTGCCTGGAGGAAGACTAAGGGCCAAAGCACCCCCGACTCCCTGGGTGTGCGGAGGCCCCAGGCCTGCCCCCGACCCCTGCTGTCCGAGCCACGGCCTTGGCATCTAGCCCGGCGCCCTGAGTCGGTGCTGACAGAACAAGCAGTAGAAGATGCTCCCTCAAACAGAGCCTAGTGAGTGGCTCTTGGGCAGGACAGCACCAGCCGCCCTCCCAGCCCAGGTCCGGCCACAGGAGCTCAGGACCCAGGAAGGAGCTGGGTCCGCGGACTAGCACGGGGCCCCGGAGAAGGCCACTGGGCTGCCCTGGGGGCCACTCCGGAGTAAAGGAGGCTCACAAGCCTCCTCCACCGCCCATCCTCTCCCTGCAGACCAGCCGTTTCCCAAGGGCGGCCTGGCCCCCACTGCCTGCCCGGCCACCCTCCTCAACTATCCTGCATGTGCCGCCTTGACCTCAGGCAGGAAGGTGACCTGTGAAACAAACGCCCCGGGGCCTTCCCTTCCTGCAGGGCAGCCTGTGGGCCGCTCCCACACTGCATTTTCAGGGGGAAGTGGGGCAGTGACAATCACTGAACACTGACTGCCTTCCTCCTCCCCAGTTATCCCGAGAACCCGACGCAACCATCCAGTGTGGTCGGTAAGGAGAGCGAGGTGCACCGCAGCGCTCCACGTCATGCTGCGACACATGGCACCTCAAGGACAGAGACGAAGGGAAGTCCCAGGCTCGCTGTGGTTTTCCTGGGGGCCACGGGCCAGGCGCATCCCCTCCCTCCCTCGAGGCTCCCCCTCAGGGAGCAGGGCTCTCCTCCAGGCAGGAACGAGGACCTCCATGCAGTGAGTGGCGGAAGGAGGCTCCCCCGCTATGAGGATCCCCTGAATCCTTCAGTCCCAGCCTGCCTTCAAAGCAGTGGAGGCATCGCTTCTGCTGCTCCCCAGCGGAAGAAGCCAGGCCTGCACTGGGGGAGCCACAGACTGCCCGGATCGTGCCTTCTCAGATGGGACGCAGCCAAGGAGAAGGGGCGTCTTCGCCTGCTCCCCTGAGCACAGGGAGGCTAAGCCAGAAAGGCCAAGCCCACAGGGGACCGCAGGAAGACGCCTTGCCCCAGATGACACGTCCCTCCGCCCCCCACCGCCCTCAGGGGAGGCACACACCTAGGCTGGGCCTTGACTGTGAACGTGTTACTCCCATGCTGCTTCTCCAGGCTGATGAGCACATCATTGAGGTTCTGGTTGAGCTGCAGGAGACACAGCAAGCAGGTTGGGTGGGGCCACCAACCAGCCCCAGCTCCCAGTGACATCCCTGCTTCTCTTCCACCCTAGCCCTGCCCTGTGCCTCTGCCTGGGCCGGGAATGAGCTCTTCTCTCGCCATCAGTGGGAGCTGGGAGTCGGCACACCAACCCCAGACAGAAAACAGAAGAGGAGGAGGAAGTGGGCTGCACTGCCTAGCAGTCACGGTTTCTGGGGACCATCTCTTTCTTCTTTCTACTTATAGGCACTTCCTAAAATGCCACATAAAGCTTGTACTGTTTTGTTTTGCATGGGTTTTTCTTTTTTTTCAATTTTGCAAATTAACTGTTGATCCTAATTGCTGAAGTCATTTGCCAAGATGCTTTCAGGCCCCGTTACAACTGACAGAGATTTCACCAAAAGCACCAGCAGGATGAGGGACTGACCCCATGCATCTTGTGGTTCTGCTTACTGAAAATATTTCCCTCTCCTTCAGCCACTAGGAAGCCCAGAGCTGAATTTTCCTCCTGACTTTACAAATATTTTCTTCCCCAAACACATCTCTGTTTGTTTTTTTCTTTTAATTTTTCACAAGTTGTCTCATACTGAAGGGAAGAAGGAAAAGTAGGAAGGAAAAGGAAAAAAAGGAAAACTCAGGCAGGAAGCAATACTCAGGGTGGTCCCTCAGGACAGGCCCCAAGGTGGCCAAAGCCCTTTTCCTGTCCTGGGCCTGGAATCCCCCATGATCTATACTTCATTCTTCTGGGCTCTGGAGACAGTCAAGCCTACCCATGGTACAGGGAAGAAGGAAGTTGCCAACATGAGGTTATTACAACTTAGCTTTGCAGTTTAACTGCCATATTCATCAAAATGAAAATAATACAACATAGGAATTTAAGCTAATCAGAGCCCATCTTACATCAGATTCTAGTAGATAAGGCAAATCTGCTTTAATGTCTTAAGGAATATTTTTAAAAAATTATAATTGGAAAAATTTTAGTAATTTATTTATCATCAGCCTACAAATTGGGAAACCACCACCATTTTCTAACACTGAGTGAGCTTGTTGGGCCAAGGCTGCCTGAGAGCATGTCTCCAGTTTGAGGGCCACTGGCCCTGCCCGGGCAATGAGAATAGACCTGGGAGCAGGACAGGGTCTAGGGCTAGACCCGTGGGGCTGGCTTGCAGCCTCCCAGTGCACCCAGCAGCTCCTACTGGGCCCTGACCCTGTTCCTCAAGGGCAGGGGCTCAGAGGGGGCACTGCGGTGACCTGTGTCTCTAACCCCAGCAGGGAAGAGGAAGTCGGGCCCCCCAGTGCCTCCGACTCTGACCCTTGCAGGTGGAGCATGGCCCTGGGTGGGTGGCTGGGATGCAGGGGAGGAAAGGGACCTACCTACCTTACTCATTTCCTTGTGGAAGTTTTCCTCCAGGCCCGCAATGCTCTGAAATGTGTTGACATAGAAACCCACACGGCTGCAGGACAGAGGGAAGAAGGGCCAGGTGGATTGCAGGTCAGTGTGGGCAGCCCAGGAGAGCCATGCGGGCGGCCGGACCTCCGCCCTCACCAGCCCTGGCCCTGGGACGGCATGGAGCAGAGCGGCACAGCCCTGCAGCCTCCGGAGAGTGGCCGAGGCTCTGCCTGCCCCCTCCTGCCCCTCACCTGTTCCAGAGGGATGGCAGCTCCTCCTGCAGGTCCACATTCATCTCCTCAAACACCTTCTGGGCTTTGATGAGCTCCTCCTCGGCCTGGGGGGTGGGATGGGTCATTTCCCTCTGCAGGGCCTGCATCCTGGCCAGCCCAGGCCAGGCCCCCACCAAGACCTACTCTCCCCAGTGCACTGGAACCAGGGCTCTGGCCGTGGACGTCAGGGCAGACCTCCCCGAGTCCCTCCCCCGCGCCCCGGGGGTGCTCCGGGCAGGGACCGGGAGAGCAGCCAGGGCCAAGGAGAGAGCCCCCATGTGGTCCAGCGCCCCAGGGGGACCCGAGGAAGGAGGGGAGCAGAACGCGCCGGCGCCAGCCAAGGGGAAAACGGGGCAGAGGCCCAGGAAGGCCACGAGGCCCCAGACTAGCCAGGTGGGGTCCTGTCCACTCACGCTGGAGCCCCTCTCGGGCTAAGTGTCTGCCGGCTGCCCAGCTCCCTCGCCCTGGCCGTGCCGGCCCCTCTGACTCTTCCTTCCCCTTTCCCAGGGCCGGCCCCTACTCAGTCTCCACCACCAGGCTGACTTCACCTCCATGGGAGCTTTCCTACCTTCTCCTCTGACCCTTCCCCAATAGAGGCAGGAGCTCGGGGACATGCAGAAAGGCAGGGGAGAGGGCAGGCCAGGAGGGGGCTGGGCTGCCAGGCAGGCTGCCTGTGCCCACTCCCAGGGCCAGCCTGCACACACACACACCAGTTGGTGGCACTCAGGCCCCATGGCAGAATCCTAGAAAGGCGGGAGCTGGGCGGAGGGTGGAGGTGAGTCACAGACCCCGGCCCCAGAAAGCGCTCTGCTGGCTCATTCTGGAGAGCGCTGCAGGAAATAGTGACTCAGGGGGGTGACTTGGATTCGGGGTCTGAGTCACAGCCCAGGAACGTGGTGGCCTCGCCCAGGAGAAAACTTCCCTCCAGCAGCCTCATGTTCTCAGGCCAGCTGGCCTGAACACGAAACTGCTGCAGAACACACCAGAGTTGCCCGTCCAACTGAAGCCCACCCGGCTGTCCACACAGCTTCAGGCACCAGGGTCAGCCCACGTCTCGTCCTAGTCCTTCTGTGTCTGGCCCAGCCAGGATGACTAGGGAACCGGAGGAGAGAGGGGCCACCACGCTCCTGACTCCATCACCTTCAGGTTGTTGGAACTTGCTATGCTGAGCATGAGCATCTCATCTAACTTTTTAAAATCTCATTTAAAAATTAAAGGGAGCATAAGAAATCAAAGAAAGGTCTCTAAATATGCATGCCTCTGGCCACGCCTAGAATGGATCAGACCTGGGGTGCCCTCCAGGCCAGAAGCCAGATCATCCCTGCCTTAATTCTCTGAGAACCCCAGTGCCTGATGGGGGCTAACACTCCCAAAACAGTGACTCCCATACTTTCAGACGCCAGAGCCCCACATTGTCATGTGCACTTCCCATTCAAGTGCCCACTGGACAGTTCAAGTCCCACATCCTCCAGGACACTGACCTCCCTGGCTTCCATACCCATGGAGACCAACCCTTCTGGTCCCCACGATGCAGGTCCTAACTCCCCGAGTGGACAAGCATGGCCAAGACGGTGAGGATGGCACAGCGGTTCATAGCTGGATACCAAGCCCTGTCCACGGAGCTCAGCAATGCTGCCAAGGACAGGGTGGCTTTGTTTTAGAGTTCCTAGAAGTCAGGGCCTGTCCTATATTTCTTTTGAGTCACATTCTTCATATTCTGGCTCTTTCAGAAATACCAGGGGTGGCAGGAGGTGGGGGGATAGCTGTCCCTTGCTGGGGAGACCATGACACGTGTGGAGAGCAGCTTGGAACCAGATCAGGGAACACCTGGAGCTGGCCAGCTCAGGAGAACACAGGCTCAGGAGCTGGTGCTGTCCCTCCAAAGTCGAGTCAGCCAGCAAAGGCAGCCCAGGGCCCCAAGTACTCCAGCTCACTGCCAGCCAGTGGCTGAAGGCTCCCCAGCCCCCAGCCAAGGGTGAGGCAGGGTGAGGAAGAAAGACGAGAGGCTCAGAAGAAAACTGGATCCAAATGGGAATGTCAATTTGTCCAAAAGGCAAAACATCTGCCGTCCAACATCCAGAGATGACATCCCGTGCCCTGGCCTCTCCTGCCAATCCCCCAGGGTGGGGGGTGAAGGTGGGAGATGGGACCCTCCCAGCTGGATCCCCATCCACACCCATCCCAGGAGCCCCAAATCAGCCATGGCCACCACCCCTGGCCCCACGGTCTCCCAGGAGCTTATCCCACTGGACTAAAATGTTCACCTGGCATCCTCCCAAACTCATTTCAGGGAAAATTGTGCAGAAATCCCGGCCCTGGCTCGGTGGCTCCATTATTATTCCCCCTACAGCCCGAAGTCCTGAACTCTACAGGCGGGACAGGCCATTCCAGTCACTCAGCCCTCCTGCAGGCTAACCTAACCCAGGCCATCTCCCCAAGACCCTAAAGAGGTGGGGCTGTTACTCAGTGCCTCAAAAGTCAGCCCACAGCTCTGGCCTAAAAGAAATCAGGCAGCAGGATGAATAAGAAATTGGGTCGCGAGCCCATGCTAAACCCAGCGCTCTCCACATCACAGGTATTCAATACACGTGAGTTGAAGATGATGAAATCAGAAGTGGCCCAGAAAACATGGGGCAGCTGTCCGGATAGAAACCCAGCCTCCTCAGGGGGGGCCTGTCTCCTGCCCCCTCCCAGGACCATGTAGTGCTGCTGCAGTCAGAACCACGAGGCTCCCTCTCCCAGGGCACTGCATCACGGTCCTGACCAGGGCCCAGCCCACTCCAAAGTGTTGCCAGGATAGTAATACACTTTCGCACAGAGAGCCTCCTCCAGGAAGCCCTCTGGGATCACTGTGATACAGAATGCTTGCCCTCCATGGAACTCCCAAAGAGCCAGTCCTTTCAGCCCCAGGTCTCAATATCCCAGCCAGACGGAAGAGCCTTCTCAGTGTCCCCCAGGGGCACCCCGGGGCCTGTAGGTCCAAGGGACACCATGACTCTGGCCAATTGGTGGTCCCTGGACCACCCACAGGGACCCCCAGTCCAGGGAGCTAGGCTAATGACCTAGGGCTTGAGGTGGGTGAGCCCCGACTCAGTCACTGAATGGCTCTGGGAGCTGGGCAGGAGATTCTGCCTCTCTGGACGGGTTTGTCTCCTCAGTAAATCCAGGTTAACCTCACAGTTCTCATGAGGTTCGAAGGAATACACATTAAAGACACCACATCTGTCCCTGCAAGAGCCCTCACAGAGGACAGAGTCTGAGGCTTTCCTGGGCTCCTGGAGGCTAGGATTTCACAGTCGGAGCCAGGATGACCAGAGGTCCAGGCACTAGGACAGAGACGGGCCCATTCCAGGTTAACCAGCCCCGGTCCCCATCCGCACCCTCCTTTGACCTCAGCTCTCCGAGGCAGGAGGTCTCCGGCAGAGACATTTGAAAACATCCCTGCCTCCCAACCGGGGAAAGAATCGCGCCCTCCCCCACCCCAGGTGGGGCTGGGCAGACGGGCACCCAGCACCACCCAGCGCCAAGGACAGGATGACAGACCAGAAGGCGCCAGCGCGTGCAAGGTTAGAAGCCGGTGTCACCTGATTTCGGAGCAGGTTAGTTTGGGCTACGAGATGAGCCTGCAGTTTGCCTTGGCACCACTGGGGGGCGGCTTTCTCAAGCAGCGAGACAGGCTAGGGGTGGGGAGGGGAGGTCAAGGCCAAGGAGAGGAGAGAGAGGAGGGAGACCGGGAGAGAGAAACAGACAGACGTTAAACACCACATCCCAACGTCTCCAGGGCAGTGACGGAGCCCTGCCTCCCTCCAGAGGGCCAGCCCCCACAGCAGGCAAAGGCCCCTGAGGCTGAGAGAATTAAGGGGAGCCCCGGGGAAGGCGGAGAAGTGGGTGAAGTCCAGCTGCAAAGCAGAATACGAGAATCGTTAGCAAGGGCAGAGGGACTCAGCAAGCAGGTCCTGCCCTGGGGGCGCTCACGGGGTGGGGGGGGGGCGGAATGTGGGTGCAACACCCCCCACCTCCACCCCGACCCGGCTTGTTCCAGCTGAGACAGGTTCACATCGGATCCCGTGACGGAATTCCATTCGGAGCACACCAGGCCAGGAGGGGCTGGGCCAGTGAAACCCAAGCCAGGCCTGCTCTCATCCTGGAAAGCGGCCTCCGGACAGGCGGAGGGGCCGGGGGACGGGCCAGGAGGGGGCCCCACCCATCAGGCCCACGAGGCCTCCCACTCACTCGCCCTGTGACCCGTGACTCGGGACTAGTCAGCGGCTGTGAATCCCTCTGCAAAGGGGGCAGAGGATCCCTGCCCGCCAGGGTGCAGGGACAAGCCTGCAGAGGGTGTGGACAAGGACAAGCCTTGCACAGGAGCAAGGCTCCCTGGGGGCTTGGGCCCCCTGCGGAGACTCCCAAGGCCTCTCCCCCAGCCACCACCACCGCCAGCCTTACCTTAGCAATTTTGGCTTCATCCTTCTTTTTGGCGGTTTGAAGGGACTCGTAATGGTGCCGGGCACTGTCGTAGTCCACCAGCTTCCGCCCGCGCTTGGCGATGCGTGACTGGGGTACGGAAGGAGGGAGCAGCTGAACGCTTCAGCACAACGCCCGTGCTGAGACGCTGGCCTGGGCAAGGGGGCCTGGATGAACCCAGAGGGCTCATGGCCGCCGACCCCAGGCTCAGCAAATCTGTCCGCTGTGACGCTGGCCGGGGCAAGGGGGCCTGGATGAACCCAGAGGGCTCATGGCCGCCGACCCCAGGCTCAGCAAATCTGTCCGCTGTGACGCTGGCCGGGGCAAGGGGGCCTGGATGAACCCAGAGGGCTCATGGCCGCCGACCCCAGGCTCAGCAAATCTGTCTCACAGATGCCTGAGACACTCGCGTTAACATTTCTGGCGGCAAAGAGCTCACCCCTCAAGGCTTCTCTCCTCCTGAGCCACCCCATCAGCCTCGCTTCCACACTCCCTGTAAAACTTCAGGAGCCTTTGCACTGTGTGGCCGGGAGCCAGCATGGAGTGTGAGCCCTCCAGAGGAGCGGCCTGGCACCGCGGTCACTACCTGAGCTCTAGACAACTCTGCCTGTGTGTTGGGGGCACCTGGGGTCCCAGCTGCCTCCTTGGAGATCCTAACACACTGACAAGTTCTAACTCACCTGCGCCCGGCAAAGGCAGCTGGCGTTTTGAACACGCGCAGTCACACAGATACATCCAGATAAGAGGCAATGCACACAATGACACACAGCTTCCCTTCCAAGCACACAGAGTCCAATACAGGGCATACAACGCCCAGGCCTTCCAGCCCCGTCATACACTTCGTCAGCCCTAGAGTCACTCCACAGTTACACGGCCACACACGTACATACTCCACAAGGTCTCTTTCCATAGCCTGGAGACCCACAAGGACAGGGTTTCCAGCTCAGAAAGGCCCAGGCCTGGGGACTGGAAGGCTAGCCTCAGAGGGAGCAACCCCGGAGGGTGAACTGGGAGGCGAAGGGGAGGCCTGCCTTCAGCCCTGGGCTGCCCGCACGCCCCCACACCCCTCTCCCACTCCTGCTCCCCGACACAGGCTGCCAGGCCGCAGCAGGGTGGAGGGCCAGAGCACCGCTCACCTTGATGTCAGGGAACTGGCCCAGGTATGTGTCCATGGTCAGCAGCGCCTGGTCCACCAGCTTCTGGTGGTAATCCATCCAGAGCAGGTCATTGTTCTGCAGAAGGCGAGAGCGCAGGAGTGGACACCAGGGGGGCTGGGCTGCAGCAGGGCCAGCTCGCCCCTCCCAGGGACCCAGGGGCCAGCCCCGTCGCTTCACAGCTGGGCGGCGCCTCAGAACCTCAGACTGGTGGTGGTGGTTTAGTCGCTAAGTCATGTGCGACTCTTGCAACCCCATGGACTATAGCCTGCTGGGCTCCTCTGTCCATGTGATCCTCCAGGCAAAAATACTGGAGTGGGTAGGCATTCCCTTCTCCAGGGGGTCTTCCCGACCCAGGAATCGAACCTGGGTCTCCTGCATCGCAGGCAGATTCTTTACCAACTGAGCAATGAGGGAAGCCCAACCTCATCTATAAAATGGGGTCACAACTCCTGCCTTTTCACAAGGTGACCTTGAGGATGAGATACACCCAGGGCTGGTGGGGCCAGGGAGGGAGGCTTCCTGGGCCAGGCAATACAACTCAGAGAGGAGAGATGTCTCCAGACATCACAGGAAATGCATCTCAGCGTGAGGGTGTGTCAGAAGAGCAAAATGACCCCCAGAGAGGGGAGGGGACTTGCCCAAGAGCATGCAGCATGTAAGAACTGGAAGGGCTGTTCCCAGAGGGTGCAGGGTACGATGGGCAGCCAGCTGAGGTCAGAAGGCTCCCCAGGGGAAGGACCAAGGTCACTGGGCCCACACTCACCTCAGCGATTTTGCTTGCTTCATCCCTGCCAGGCCAGTCGGGCTCGTACACCTCCTGCAGACACTCGTTCAGCTTCTTGGAAGCCTCATGCATGGCTGGTGGGCAGACAGGCTACACTGCAGGCAGGGGGTACCCTTGCCCCCACCCCTGAAGGCCCAGGAGGTATGTGGCCATACCGGGACAGCCCTGCTCCCCTTCCCAGCCCTGCGTCCGTCAGCTCCACGTGGGGAAGGCCCCTCTCTGTGTCCCAGGAAGCCCACCAGCCCAGCCAGGTCTGCCCCTTACCTTTGACCGAGGCCAGGTAGGTCCGGAGGTCCTTCTGCAGGCGGGTGCCCTCGGTCTACAAAGAGAAAGATGAGGAGAAGGGGGGGGGCCTGGAGCACAGCCCACACCTGCCCCCTGCCTCCTGCATCCTGTGGACGCCTGCCACGGATGGGCTGTCCACTGCAGAGCATCAGGGGCCTACGGAGACCAGATAAACCCAGGAAAACACCCTGGGTTTGGGGTACGGCGGTTAATGCCTCTCTGGCCACAGACACACTGAGCTTCCACCTTGGGAGCCCTGTTCCTGAAGGGACATTCAGCTTCTCTCCTAGGCACTATCCTCAGCCCTGGAAGGGAGGCAGCAAGACAGGGACCCTCCACCCTGAACGACACACTGGAGCAGAGCCCGTGTGTATGACGGGACCGGCGGCTGGCAAGCCTGCCCTCGGGCAACCGTGAGCCAGGGGACCGACAAGCACAGGAAGATGATGGGGGTACAGGGACCACCCAGCCCTGGTCCTGAAAGCCTGGGTTCTGCCTGAGGCCAGCTGGCTCCCAGCGCATCCCACCGGAGATGAGGGGCCTGGGGCAGGCCTTTACAGGGTCAGGAGGTTTCTGATGGACAGAGGACGACCTGGTGGGGAGAGGAGAGATCCAGAAGGGGAGGCCTTTGACAGGAGTGCAGAGAAGGGTGGGGTCATGTCCAGGCCTCTCGGGACACTGGCCCTGTTGAGAGGGAAGATGCAGGGGAAAGGGAAGAGGGGGGAGTGGCCCAGGGAGTGAAGCCCTCAGAGCTAGGAGGGCAGCCCCAGGGGCTCCCTGGAGCAGGAGGGCCAGTAGAGAGGTGAAACCGCAGACGCAACCTCAACTCCCTCTGGCATCAGCAGGAGGCAGAAGCGGGAAAGCTGAGCTCCAGGTATGAGGACGGGTGAGCTGGTTGAGGCCAGCAAGCAAAGTGAGACTCCTGCGAGGGAGATGCTGAAGTTTCCAGAAGCCATGTGGAATGCAGGAGAAAGCACACACAGGCTGTGGGGCTGTGGAGACCCAGATCTGTCCCTTACTAGACACATGCGTGTTCAGTCACTTCAGTCGTGTCCAACTCTGGGCGACCCCATGGACTGTAGCCCTCCAGGCTCCTCTGTCAGTGGAATTCTCCAGGCAAGAACAGTGGAGTGGGCTGCCATTTCCTTCTATACACTAGACATGGAATCCTAAGAAAGTTACTGAACCCCTCAGAGCCTCGTCTCCTCATCTGTCAGCCGGGTCAAATGACCGTGGCCTGGGAGACCACAAGCAATGTGCATGGAGCGCCTGCAGGGCACCTGGCCCATCGCAGGTGCTCGGGGACGTGGCTGCAGGGAGCCGGAAATGGCTTCACGGCGGCCATGAAGAGCAGCCTCGGGAGGTGGGCTCTACCCTGGGCAGCACAATGGGTGGGGACGGGGACACAAGGGAGCCGGCCTCTGGAGTGCCGTGAATGGCTGAACCTGGGGCTGACCTCCTGGAGTCCCTGCCAGCCCACACCTCAGTGACATCTTGTGTGGAAGTCCTGCTCTCTGAGGGAGGCTTAAACAGACCATGGCAGCAAGCCGTAGTCCCAGGAGATCTGCGCCCCTACAGAGCTCCACCTGCCAGCCTGGAGCTCCTGCCTGAGACAAAAGTGGTCTCCACCCTTGCTGGTCAAACAATGCCCCTGCTGAGAGCAGGCCAGGACGTGGGCCTCAGGCATGGGCCCACCCCAGCACCCTCAAATCTCTGCTGTCCCCCTGCAAACAGGGCCCCTCCTGGCCAGAGTCCTCTCATCATGCCCCGAAGTCCTCAGAGCTGGGGCAATAGTTCCTCAGTGGGGCCAGAACGCCCCACACACAGCCTCTCAACGCCACTGTCACCACCTGAGGAAGAGGAAGTTGAGAGGTTCTGAGACTTGCCAGGATCACACTGGCACAGGGAGAGCTGGTGAGAACCCCCATGGCCTGACGTGGGCCCCAGTTTGCTGAATCAGTCATGACAGGGCCAGGAACACAGGCAGCTGCCTGTTCCTTACGATGAACACAGCCGTGGGACCGCAGACACCACAGAGAGAGGGCTGCAGGGCGTCACACTAAACACGGAAACCCTCTCCACAACTCCTTCGGTCCCCACGGAGTGTAACACCCTGGCCATGGAGGAATCTTCTGAACATCCGAGTTCAAGGTGTGCTGATTAGAGTAGGAAACCAAAGGCCAACCCACAAGCACTCAAACCTCTCTGGAAGCCCATCAGGGATCACGTGTGGACCCAAGACTGGGGCAAGAGGAAGGGTCTACCCCACTCCCGATGTAGCCTACGCAGTCTGAACAATTAAGTGCTGTGGTGGTAGAGATGAGGATTTAAGTGTACCTATGATGCGATGCTCTTGTATTCATCCAAGGTCAGAATCTTCCAGACCCAGCTTCTCTTCCCACCAAGCCTCACCAGCTTGCTCCCCTCCCCACTGTCCCCCAGCATCTGTCTGCAAGGCACCCAGAGGAAGGGGTCACCCACAGGGCGGGTTGCTGGGCTTGCCCAGGCTTCAGGCTGTACCAGGGCCCCTTGTGCTTCCCAAACAAGGCCACGCTGTGAGCAGGCACACTGGGCACAGATGTGCAAGGGCCGCCCGGAGCCCTGCCTCCCCTGTGCCAACTGCAGCTGGTCCCCAATGTCGACGTTCCCCCCGGGGGCCCCCAGCCAGCTGCTTCCTCAGGCAGCCCTGGCGGCAGGCTACCCTCCACCCTGGCTCTGAGAAACATCTCTCTGGAGGTCCCTGGGCTCTAACATATGCCTTGCAGAGCAGCTGGGGGAAGGAGAAAGTTCTGGAGTCACTGCCCTCAGCCTGCTTTTCTGGCAGCCCAGGACTAACACCAGGTGTGGCTCCACAAGCTGGCCAGCAGGCACCCCACATCCCCCCATACCTCCCTCTAAAGGCTAGCTCCCAACTCCCTGACATCAGCCCCCATCTTCCCAGGGAAGCCAGGAGGCAGGGAAATGCTCCCTGCACGGACCCCTCTGGCTCCAGCTGGATTCCTGAGCCTCTGTGGTCAGTGCCAGAGGACTGCCACATGATAGCCGGGGATGTCCACTTGGAGGAGAGCCCTGGGTGGGCCCTGGAGAATGAGAAGGAACCAGACCTGCCCCATCTCACTGACAAATAGCAACTCTGAGCCCTGGGGAGCCAGGTCCAGGCGGTCCTCTAAGAGGAAGAAGCTGGGCCATCTGGAGGACCCAGAATGGCTCCCAAGGATCTGAGCTGGATTTAAAGCACTTGGGTGGGTGAGAGTGAGTGAGCCCTCCAGGGCTTCACAGAAAGGACAGGGCCAGGGAGGCCAGACCTATAGTTGAGTAGGCCCAGAGGGGCTATGCAAACTGGGTTCCTGTGAAAGCAGACAAGGGCAAGGCAACTCACCCCCTCTCGTAGGGCCCACCCCCAGTGGAAGGGGTGGGAGACTCATGTCCTTGAAGCCCAAACTCCCTGCCATCCCTGGCCCCGACTAGTGCTGGCCCACTAGGCTGGACGTTCCCAGATGAAGAACAGGGCTCCCCATGCTCAACTTCACCTTGCCTTTCCCAGGGCTCCCCAAGCCCTGCAGCTTTCTGAATTCACTTTCCTGAGAAGAGTGATACTCACTTAGTAACCCTTTCTAAATCCTGAACCCCAACCCCAACCCCAGGCCCCAGTCACCCTCACACACCAATCAAATCCAGAACTGTCCAGTTGCCCTAACTCCTACGGGAGGGTTACCCTGAACCTCAAATGAGACCTCATATTTGCCCACTCCTGCTTCTACCCTCAGCCCCTGAGAAGCTGACCACACCACCCAATCTGCAGGCAGACAGAGCACCAGCTCAAATGACCACCCATATCCACAGCCAGGGAGCCAAAAGCACTGGCTATCTTTAGCCCTAACCTCACTCCCCAGCCGCTCTGGGCAAGGATCAGTGACTGCTTGCCAAAAGCCAGGGACCCAGAGGGGACTTCAGTGTTCTTCTTCAAGCCTCCACTTTGAAGGTGAGCAAACTGAGGCCCAAGGGGCAAGCGGTCATCCAGAGCCAAACAAGCAGTCTCTGCTACTGGCTTTGAAACACCTCCCATTACTGGCCTCAGGGGACAAGCAGCCATGGGGGCGCCCAACCCTGCTCTGAGGAGCCCCTCAGCGGAGCTTCTCTGGCAGGTGAGGGTGACCTGGCCCTGGGCCCTCTCCCAGCATGCTCCCCTACGCTCTCCCAGANCTTTGAAACACCTCCCATTACTGGCCTCAGGGGACAAGCAGCCATGGGGGCGCCCAACCCTGCTCTGAGGAGCCCCTCAGCGGAGCTTCTCTGGCAGGTGAGGGTGACCTGGCCCTGGGCCCTCTCCCAGCATGCTCCCCTACGCTCTCCCAGAACGCACACTTGCCCTATCCCAGCATGCCCTCTGATCCTCTCCCAGCATGCTCCCTAGTCTTCCTACCATCATGCTCCCCGGCCTTCTCCCAGCATGCTCCCCAGTCTTATAACACCATGTTCCCCGGCCCTCTCCCACCATGTTCCCCGGCCTTCTCCCAGCATGCTCCCCGGCCCTCTCCCAGCATGCTTCCTGGCCTTCTCCCAGCATGCTCACTGGCCCTCTTCCAACTGCTCCCAGCCACGGGCCAGTGGGTTGTCAGAGTTTTTCAAAGGAGGCCCCTTTTCCCGGGGGTTCCCTTCTAGTCACAGAAGCATTGATGGGTATCTTCTGTGCTTTCTGAGGCCTCAAATGTGGACCAGAAGTAGGAAGAGGCCTGGTCCCTCCCAGCCCCCAGTCTAGGCCCACCAGCCCCTTTCTTAGCAAAGCTTAGATCCTGACCTCACTGCCAACACCCATGCCCATTCCTGTGGCCTTTTTTGGCCTCCATTCCTGTCTGTCACTCACTGGGACTGGTGTGCAGAAGCCACAGAGCCACGGCCCAGCTCTCTGTCCCTGCTTCCTTGGCCTTTCCCAGGGAGGAGAGAATCACCAGAGTCATTTCACTCCCAACTTCTACTGTCTTCAGATACAGTCACCAAAGTGGCTTATTCTAGACTTAGCAGATCTGAGAGGGGAATGTCTCAGGTACAACTCAGTTAAGGTATTTAGAGCCCTTTGGGCTCTGTCCTCCCTTGGATATAACTCCCTTGGGTTATATCCTCCCTTGGATATAACCACTGCCCCCAGACTGTCCACATAATTAAGGCCCTTCTGTCACCAGCCCTTGGTCTATAAAAAGAAATGCTAAGGATGCCTTTTAACTCACTTGCAGTTTTTAGAACCAGAGAAGTATGGGTCTGTCCACTCCCAAAGCTGGATGGCCTTGGGCAGATTACCCAATTTTTCTAAGCCTCAACTGCTTCATCTATGAAAGGGGAACAGCGATACCAGTTGCCTTACAGGGGTGTTGGAGGGATCCACAAGCCATCTACAAATGGCCCGGCCTGGAGCCCACCACTCAGCCAGGCACAGTCGACACTCAGAGGGTGCCCAATCAAACCCAGTCTGCCCCGCCCCCGTATTAAACCTTGCAGATACCACTCTCCTCACAAGACACTTCTAGAGAGCCCACTTGCCTGGACATTCAAGGCTGCCCAGAATCTGGCCATGATCTAATGCTAGCTCCCACTCCCACCCCACCCCAACCTTACAACTTACCTAAAGCAAACCCCCACAGTGCTCCCCTTCCCCTAGTCCATACCCAGCGCCAGTGCCCCCTCCTCCAAGAAGTCTTCCATGACTCACCAGCCCACATTGATCCCCTTCTCAAGCTCCTCTACTCCACAAATTCAGCTCTTGACATTTTCCACCTGGCAGCCACAGTTCCATTTTCACAAGCTCTCCAAGGCCAAGGGCCATCCATACTCACCAGCTGCTTGTTGAAATTCTGGACACACTGTTCAAACTGCTCATCCTTCGTCTCATCCGCCTTCCCCAGTTTCTGGAGGACCTTCCAAGCAGAGGGAGAAGGGAAGAATGTTACACTGAGAAGGAAAGTGGCCAAACCAAGAGCACCAGGTCACCAGCACCACAGAGCCCTCTCCACCCCAGCGGGGTTCTGGGAGGCCCATGGCCAGGATCACCGAGCCCAGGCCACTGGGACCACCAGAGGGCCTGTGGTTGCTGTGACTCCCAAGGGCAGGACTGAGATCTCTCCCTCCTCTTCTCGGGGCTCACCCATCTGTCAAGAGGAGGAGCTCAGGACAGGCTTGCTGTAGGGGCAGAAACCAGGAGTAAGAGGGGCTGGTGCCCCTCCCAGCTGATACCACTCTGCAGCCCTGGCTGCTACACCCTAACCTGGCAACTGAAAAGTGAGCCAAACACCAGGGGCCGGCAGGGGTGGCCCCACCTCCCCATACGACTCTGTTTCCTGGGCCCACTGCTCACGAATCCCAGAGGGAGGGGCAGCGAGGTAATCAGTCCAGGACCAGGAGGGGAGGGAGGGCTGGCGGAGGGTCAGGCTCTTGCTGTCATTAGGAGTCAGCTTCCGATCTGCCTAGATTTCCAGTTGAGACTCCTTCTAGCCCGTATCTAGACGCCCTCCCACCCCTGGCACTCATACTGGCACACACATATTCATGCACACAGAGGCATCCAAGAACATGTACACACGGGCTCACGGACACACACCCTATTCCTGACATCTCAGAGGCTGACACTCCCCTCGGTGAGTCACAGCTGTCCCTTCTTGGCGGTGTCAAAGAGAGGACGTGGCAGGCACAGGTGGGGAGATGGGTGGGTGAAGGCAGAGAGAGTGACCCAAAGTCTGGAGAGGGAGAAAGCTCTAGAAAAAGAAGAAACTGGACCAGGAGTCTGAAAGCCCTAAGCAGAAGGGCTGGCCCACCAGGTACTCCCAGACTCCCAGCTCCCAGTTTCTCCTGCCTCCAACTCCAGAGTTCTCTATGGTCAGAGAGAGAGAATTCAAGAAGCAAGGATGGGTGAGGGCAATAGGGGAAGAGCAGAGGAAAATAAGAGATGGGGTACAGATTAGGCAGAGAGAGGGTGGGGTGTGGAGGGAGAGAGGGAGGCAGGGACTCCCCACCACTGGCCTGGGCAGGCACCTCCATGGGAAGCAGAAGGAACAACATGGAGATGAAGGCCCGCAGAGAGTGACCAAAACCCAACAAGAATAAGAAGGAAGCAGGTGGCTCTGGGTAGGGGTGGCAGGTGGAGGAGAAAAGCAGGTGAGCCCCCAGCAGGGATGAGCTCAGATGGGGTTGGAACACAGGTCAGGGTCCTGGACCGAGGGATGCCCAGTCTCAGAACAGAGCCTGGACCCTCCAGAACCCCAACTGACCCTAGGACAGCCTGCACGGCCCTGCTCCCCCTCCCCCACCTGGCCAGGAGCCACAGTGGGGCCAGTCAGCCCTCTGACCCTCTCTCTCATCATGTAATGAATTCGGCCATCTCTTGCCAGGCACTTGCTCTGTGCCCTAGGCATCTCTGCTGGGGCAGCAGATCAATCAGACATGGGTCCAGTCCTAAGACAGAGGGAAGTACATGAGACTGTGGGAGACCAGGATGGAGATCCTATCCAGCCTGTGTAATCAAGGAAAACTTCCTGGGACAAGTGGCAGCTCAGACTGAGGAGAGCTGGCAGCAGGAGGACCAAAAAGATGAGGTCCATTACTAGGGAATTCCAAGACGCTCCAGGTGACTAGAGGTCACAGAGGATGGAGAGGAAAGGCAGCGGGGAGTGGTGCACGCTGGGGTGCAGCCCCCGGTAACTCTGTCAGGACACTGTCCAGCAGGCAAGGGCAACTGGATGCCAAACTGACACTGAACTGAGGAGAAGGTAAAACCAAACCACCGTGAGCAAGAAAACAGGCACTTCCCTCAATCCAGGCTCCCCCTCCCCTTGGCAGCCACATCCGGCTGGCCCCATGGGAACAGGGTGGAGCTCCGGGGGTACCTGGCCCACTTGACACTGGGCGCGGGCAGGTGGCTCACCCCCATCTATGCCAAGGAGAGAAATGGACTACCAGGTGGGAAAGAAAGAACATCCAAAAGTCAGCACGGTCCACCAGAGCAAACCAGAGGTTCCTAGGAAGAAGGACCAGAGCCTGGCCGGCGCTCAGGCAGGATGACCGGAGGTGACGCTATCTACCCACTGCCTCTCCTTATCCCTGTGGAGATGCACTTGATCAGTGGAGCTGCCAGTCCCTCCCCGCCATCAGGGATCCCGAGCAGGCCAAGGCCCCAGGTGTCCACACCTGGCTCCAGGCATCAAACACAGCTGCGTGGTTCACCAGTGAGACCTTCGGGCCTCGAGAAAGGCCAGCCATGGTGACATGCCAGGCAGTGAGAAGACCCTGAGAAAAGGGACTCTTACTGTCTCTCTGAATCTTAAGCACCTTGTCAATAAATAAGGAGAACATTAGCACCCACCTTAAGGCTCATATGAAACATGTCTCCATATCTAGCCCCTAACAGGTACACACGTATAGGGCTTTCAGAGCTGTCTTTACACAGCTGAGGGCTGGGCCTGACATGAACCCACCCTCCTAGTCCAGACGGATGGCATCCCAAGATGCCAGACAGAAGGCAAGTATGCACACTCTATACTCAAATACACAGGCAGGCATGTGCACACAGCCAACTCCTATTCGTCCTTCAAAACCCTGCTCAGGCGACACCTCCTCTGTGAAGCTGTCCTCTCCTCCTTCCCCGCCTCCACCACCTCCCCTCCTCCTCCTCCTCTGCGAAACTGTTCTCTCCCTCCTCCCCCGCCTCCACCACTTAGGGCCTGGGACCAGCTCTCCTCATTGCCTGGGGGTCTGCCTCTGGCCCCAACCATGCCTGCACAGCCTGAGGTCGAGGGCAGTGTCCAGCCTTCCTGTGTCCCCAGCTCACTAACAGGGCAGAGCACAGGGTCGACACACAACACGTTCTCATCTGAGCTGTGAACTTTGAGGTCAGAGTCACGACCTCGAACAAAGCAGCCCATCGCTCAGTTTCCTGTTACGTAAAATGAGAGGGTCTGTACAGAGAATACTCGGCCTGACACGCAGAGAGCTCACCATGAAGGTAGCCGTTAGGATCAGGGGTTAGAACTGGCATTCACCCGAATCTGAGGTCTAGTCCAGTGGGTCCCACTGGACCCTGCAGGGTGCCGCAGAGGGGCATGACCAGCGTGGCTCTGCGTGACCTCCAGCCAGCTGCTCACCTCGCCTCTGACACCTCAGCGCCCGCCTGTGACGTGGGAGTGACAAGGGTGCCCCGGCGCGTGGAGGCGCGGGCTCACCCAGTGCGCGTGTGTGGGCCTCGGCCTTGTCTCCCCTCACTGTACCTGCCTCGCTTTACAGAAGAAGAAGCGCACACACCCTGGGGCCCTGTCCTCGGGGGCAGCTCCCAGCATGGCTACAGGGGAGAAGCAAGCTGGGCACCGCCGCCCCCAGGACAGGGACCGGGACAAAACTTGGTGCAGTGAGACCCCACAACACCGATGGCTGCGTGCTTCCCATCCTCCAGAGCCAGGCTCCTGCTGCAGCCCGGATGCTGGGGAAGAGGCCTTTCCCACCGGCCCCCGGGGCACCCAGACCACACCCTATCCTGCCCTGCCACCGAACAGCTGCTGAGCCCTGCCCGACCAGTCCCCGTGCTCAGAGACCCCAGGGCAGCTCTGTCCAGCCACCACCAGTGCCCTCACCAGGAGACACACACACGCTCAGAGGCCTCTCCACGCCAAGAGGGGAGCCCTGGCCGCGGGCCTGGGGGACACAGATGCAATACTCAGTTCGTGGGGCCACCCTGCGTGGAGTTCAGCCAGCCACTGCAAGCAGCAAGTGGGCTCTGGGTGTCAGGAGGGGCGGGCCGCCGGGGCTCAGGGGATGCATGACGACTGAGCCAGGGTTTGGAGAATGAGCTGGAGTTAGGTGAGGAGGGGGCCTGGAGGCAGTCCGGCTTCCCGATCCCTGAATGAAGCTATGGAGATCCGTGGTGGGGGGGCCCAGACACCCCTATGTCACACTAATCTCATGTGTCTCCCTTGTAATCAACAAAAGGGAACCTTTCTGACAATGTGACAGAGGACAGGTCACAGCCCCCCACAGCAAGGTGGGAGCTGCTCAGCCCAAGCCCAGCGCAGTCCAGGAAGCCTTATCGGTGGCCCTGCTCCTCTCACCACATCCTCAGTGCAGCCAAGGATGAGAGGGGCTAAAAACCTCGGTACGACCGATCCCCAGCAGGGCCGAGTGAGGCGAGCTGGTGGCAGAATGAACCTACTCCTCACATCTGCGGGTCAGCCTGTCAGAGCCTGGGCTGTGACTCAGGGCTGGGGACCCTCCCCTCCTCCTCCGGGCCCTCCCCGGGGCGGGAGGCCCGCAGGACACGGCTGAGCACCTCTGAGTGCCAGGGCCCAAGGACAGCTTCCTGCGTGCCCCTCCCCAGCCTCTCTCACAGTCCAGAGGCCTCGGTTGCGGGGTCTTCCCAGGCCCGCTCCTCTGCTCCTGGCCAGCCAGTGAGCCGGGGGGACAGGCCACCCATGGTGACAGCCTCCACACAGCTGTGCCACGCACTCGGCCACCAAATCCAGAAAGGGCGCCCGGGCCAGTGTCACTGGAAACAGGAGCAAGTTACCACTCACTGCTCCCCCAGCACAGCACCTTACAGACCCCACGCAGCCTCTACCTTCGTGCAACAGATGGCAGGCAAATCAGGACTCCTAGGGCCTCACACTCAGGAACAGGCAAAGGGCTTTTCCCAAGCTCCAGACTGGAAGAAGGGCACCAAACTGGAGGCGGGGGCACCCAGCAGACCTCGTCCTCTCCACGCTGCCCCAGCGGGGCCAGCAAGGGCAGGGAGCGTGTGCACAGGCCCTCACCCCCAGGCTGGCCCCAGGAGCCCTCTTGGACCCCTCCTTCCCCCAGAGCGTGGCCAGCCCCTACCTGTGTGGGAACACACGCCCACATCTGAGCATGTGGCACAAGGCAAGAATAAGCACTTTCTAGA